AAAATAGATAGTAGGAAGGCAGGAGTCGGGGCGAGAAGACCAGTTAGTGATTGCCACACTAGCCCAGGAAGGGGTGATGGCATCTTGCACCCTGCCATGGTGGCAGGGAAGAAATTAGATGGATTCCAAGTGTATTTTGGAATTAGACTGAAAAATTGCAGGTGAACTGCGTGTGGGAAGAGAAGAAAGCAAGAATCGAGAATAATGCCAAAGTGTTACAGCTTGAACAGCTGGCTGACTGGCTGTACTGTTTGCTGAGAGAAAACTGTGGGAAGGAAGAAGTTTGGGTTGGAAATCAAGAGTTCATTTCTGAACAAGTTAAATTTGAGTGCCTGTGAGACATCCAGTAGAAATGGCAAGTGGGTAGGTGGATACACGAGTCTGGAGCTCAGGGGAATGGTCCAGACCAGAGAAATAAATCTGAAAATGATGAGACTGTAGGAGATATTGAAAGCCTCAGCCTGGAAGGGCTCACCTAGGAAATGCGTGCAGGCAGAGAAGAAGATTACGAGTGGAGGCCTGAGAGTCAACATTCAGGGGGTGAAGCCACAGGGAACATGCCAGAGAGGCAACGTAAGAATGACAGAGGAGAGGGCAAAGCCAAGAGCATGAAGGTGGAGGAAGATCAGTTGCTGAAGACAGAAGTGCCACCTCTGGGCTGGCCACATGCAAGGAACTTTCAAGAGCATCTTCTGTATGGTTGTGTGATCGAAATCCCACTGGAAAGGTTTGAAGAGGGAATGAGAGCTGAGGGAGCAAGGGCAGTGAGCGCAGGCCGCTGGCTGGAGAGGTTTGGACACGAAGGGCAGTAACGGAAGGGAAGGTTACAAAGTCTCTGACAGAAGAGAAAATATGTATGTCCAATAAATGTACAAAGAGATATCCGACTTCATTAGTAATCAGGGACATGCACATCAAGACAGGAGAAACCATCTCACATCCATTCAATCGGGAGAATGTTTAAAGTCTGCCAATGCCAAGCATTGGGGAAAACGTGGATCCACCCAGCCTCTCCCGGGGGACCGCCAAGTGGTACAACCACTTTGGAAAACTGGCACTGTCTCATGAGGCGGAACAATCATGTGCCCTATCTATGCCCAGCGACTCCACACAGTCACAAACGAGAATATTCAGAGCGGCAGATCTCACAGTAGTGAAGACCTAGAAACAGCCCAGCACCTGGAGAGGAGAGTGGACAACCGGCCGCAGCATGCTCACCGACAGGGTGAAACAGCAGCCCAGGTACACACAGCAGCGGTGGTGCATCTTAGACTGTGACAGCACGCTTTTTAAGAAGTCCAAAAAGGAGGGCGCCTGGGTGGCTCAGTCATTAAGCGTCTGCCTTCGGCTCAGGTCATGATCCCGGGGTCCTGGGATCAAGTCTTGCTCAGCGGGGAGCCTGCTTCTCCCTCTCCCACTCCCCCTGCTTGTGTTCCCTCTCTGGCTGTCTCTCTATCAAATAAATAAATAAATAGGGGCACCTGGGTGGCTCAGTCATTAAGCATCTGCCCAGGGTCCTGGGACCAAGCCCCGCATCGGGCTCCCTGCTCAGCAGAAAGCCTGCTTCGCCCTCTCCCACTCGCCCTGCTTGTGTTCCCTCTCTCACTGTGTCTCTCTCTGTCAAATAAATAAATAAAATCTTTAAAATAAATAAATAAATAAATATCTTTTTAAAAAAATTTTTAAAAAGTCCAAAAAGTTTACATCATTAGAACAGCCTTTTTGTAAAGTAAAAAAAAAACAAAAACAAAAACAAATTATAAATACACTGAGAAATAAACTTTGATGTGACAAAACTACGTGAAAGAAGCCATACGAATGGCAAACAGGCACAGGAAAAGAGGCTCAACATCATTAATCATAAAAGAAATACAAGTCAAAACCACAGTGAAATGTCACCTCACACCTGTTAGGATGGCTGTTAGCAAAAAAAACACAAAAGACGACCAGTGGTAACAGGGTCGTGGAGAAACTGGAACCCCGGTATGCTGCCCGAGGGAATGCAGCATGATGCAGATGCCGTGGAAAACAGGATGGTGCTTCCTCAAAAAATTCAGTGTGATCCAGCAATTCTACCTCTGGGTATTCCCCCAAAAGAATTGAAATCAAGATCTCTAAGAGGGCTAAGCCCTCCCGTGTTTGTTGCAATACTATTAACAGCTGCCAAGACCTAAATGTCCATGGATGAATGGATTAAAAAAATGCAGTATATCCATATAATGGAACATGATCAGCCTTTATCAAAGAAGGAAATCCTGCAACATGCAGCAGCATGAATGAACACTGAGGACGTCATGCTAACTGAAATGCGCTAGTCACAGAAGGACACACAATGCATGCTTGCATTTATATGAGGTATCTAATAGTCAAACTCATGGAACAAAGAATAGAAGTATGGGTGCCAGGGGTTGATGGGAGGGGGAAATGGGAAGTTGATAATCAAAGGACATAAAGTTTCAGCTCTACGAGATGAACAAGTTCTAGAGATCTGCTATACCACAGCCTGTAGCTAATAGTACAGGATCACACACTTAACCATCGGTTACAAGAGTAGATCTTAATGTTAAGTGTTCTTACCACAGTAGAAAAAAAAAACTATATTTAAAAAAAAGAAAAAACCTATATAAAAAAATGGTAACAGGTAAGTCTAAATCGTGGGTACTTTGCACGGGAAGAGACAAAGGAATGAGGTGGTAAAATGGTAAAATGAAAAGAACGCTTACTTCACTAAAAAAAAACAAAACAAAACAAAAAACAAAGACAAGTCCTCCCATGAAACTTTTTTACCCCAAAACTGATTAGGAATCTACTGAAACCATGAAATCTAACTATCTAGTTTCAAAGAAATACAGGGCATGGAATAATATATTTGATAACACCGAAAGGAAATCCAGGGAATCCACCAATCAGCAATATCCAGAATGCAGGAAACTTTAGGACCAACAACTCAGTTTCATCAACAAATAATTAAAAAAAAAAAAAGTGAGTTTGGGGAAACCAATAGGTTAAGAGAGAGACAATCGACCAAATGCAGTATGTGGACCTTTTTTGGCTGCTGATTTCAGCAAGGCAACTAGAAAAACCATTTATGAGGAAGATGACAGGGGATACTATGGAATTGTTCACTTTTGATTTGACAATGGTATTATGATTTTTCTCAAGTCCTTTCCTTTTAAATATATTAAAATATTTTTGAAAAAATTCCAATAACACTTGTTCTGTAGTTTTCTGTGCTTTTTTCATGACACTGTTGTAGCCTGTGTACTGCTCACCCCACGCACGCACACACACACACACCCCTACCCAGCAGGACTGCGTTTCCAGAGCGTAGACAATTCTGTCTCACCTACCGTCCTGTGCAGGCCTCAATATAGGGCTTTGCATACTGAGAGTACTCAAATGTTTATTAAATTTTTAAAAAGAAAGAAAACAAAAAAGAGCCAGGAAGGCTCCAGCGATAAGAAGTATACTTTGAACCAAGGATTGATTATGTTTAATAGGACTTTCTGTGCCTGAGGTCCAAACACAAAGTCCTAGGGAATGAAGAGCAGGGATGCAAAGCTGCCACCATGACTCGTGAAGGGGACCTTCCTTGGGGAAGAAGATGCAGATACCCCCAGCCAGGCTGGGTCCCTCTAACACACACCCAACACAACTGCAACTAATTTACTGTGTGTGTTGTCAACTGCCTCCACCACCAGACAGGGGCCCAACCCTGGATCTGGTCACATGGCTGGACCTGGTAAGTGGTTGACAGCCCAAAGTATGAAACTTCAACAGCGTCCGGAGGAGGAACAGGGCTGATCACAAAGAGGGTCAGTAACATCCTGGTGTCCAAGGCAGGAATACCAACTGGAGATTAATCAAAATGGAGACCCTGGATGGGGGGTGTGGTAATGAGCTGGGCCCACAGTCCTGCTCATCTGAGTTGCTGATGAAGGGAATGCAGAGTGGGTCATGGACAGCATGTGACAGGAAGAGGGGCACTGGAAGGTGGAGGGGGTCTGGAGGGGGACAGGACCTGGGAAGCAGCTACCGCCTGCTGTGTGACCTGGGGCGCGGCTGGCCTAGGCCAACCTGGTCCTTTCTCAGTGCGGTAGGATGTGGGAAACCACAAGAATGCAGGTAGGACCGGTGCATCACAGCAGAAAACTGAATTTCTGAGCGCATCAGGGAGGCTTACTCAGACTAGCTGGAGGAAACCACATTGAACAACCCAGCTATGGAACGAGGACATGATCAAGTCATGGCATGGGCAGCTGGAGGTGGGGGGGGCCTCCTTCTGCCTGTGATAGATAAGGGGCAGGAAGAGCTACAAAGAGGAGCTGACATTTGAGTGGGTCTTAAAAACTAGACAGGATGGAAAAAGAGAGAAAAACAAAAACACACTCATGATGATCTGGGTGCCCGTTAGGCACTGCAGTGCCCTTCCAGAAAAGGGGCCACACAACAGAGGCCTGGAGATACGAAACTACAATGGTGTGTCTGATTTTCTTTCCCCTCTTTGTCCATTCCTATTCCCTTGTCACCCTGGAAAAACCCATTAAAGATGAACTGTTTCTTTTTGCTTCTAGAAATTCACTCCAGGCCTTGATCAGACATGGATGTCAAGATAGATATATTCACAATGCTCGAAAATAGCAAACCAACTACTAGGTTAGATGGGTTAAAATACTATGTAGTCTTCAAAAAGCATGTTGTCAAAGGTTAGCTAACGGCATGGAAAGAGCTATACCCCAATTGAGTGGAAAAAAGCAGTTACAAAACAATACAATCCAACTTTATTTTTAAAAATAGAATACATTTTTTTAAAGACTAAAAAGAAATCTAATGTTCAAAGAGTCTATCTCTACCTTGTGGGATTATGGATGATCTTCATCATCCCGCCATTTTCTACAATGAATATGTTTTACTTTTTTAAAATGAGATAAAAACACCCCCAGAATGTTATTTAAACACACACACCCAATTGAAAAGATGCCCACGTGGGGTAGGCTCACCTTCTGCAGGATGGGGGTAGGGCACATGTTGTCAAACAGGACTGAGTTGAAGATTCCATACACGCCCTCACCGAGGTGGTACACGATGGTCTTGGGGGTGGAGCCATTTTCCTCTGTGGGGAGGGGAGGGGTCAGGGGCAGCACAAACAGCAGTGTGAGGGGCTGGGAGTGGGGCGCTGGCACAATGGGAGGCTCAGCAAGGATGATGGGTAACTGAAGCAAAAAGGCTGCCCCTTCCTCAGCTATGGGGTGGGTCCTGCTGCCTCCTATGACATGAGGTTCACGTGGTGCACACTCATCCCTGCAGCTGAGCACCCCTGCACAGGACATACTTCCTGCCTGCATCTGAGTCCCTGGAAGCCCCAGCAAAGGCCAAAGAGCAGCCCACCCAAACTCGATACCCCAAGAGGTTAAGCCACTCGCTCGGACTTGCAGCTATAGCCAGTCCTCAGTATGTAAACCCCCTTCACAGCCCCCTCACGGGGCAATGCATGAACTGAAATGAGAAACCAGGCCTCCCGGCTGGACTAATACGGTAATTTTAGATTTATAAAGGAAGCCAGAAGAATGTCATCTCTACACACACACACACACACACACACACACAAAGACATTCTACCTGGAGCCCACCACCCCTCCAAATGGATTCTCAGGGGAAGACACACCTCAGCTCTCCTGCCTGGGACCCTGGAACAGAAGGCTCCAAGATCAGAGCCCCTGACCCCACTCACTCAAGGGGCTGCTGGAAGGACTGATCTCTCTGGAAGGGCAGGGATGAGCGCTGATGTTGCAATGTGGGCAGAGAACCCTGAGTCAGCCCGGCCTGAACTTGAATCCAGGCATTGCCCCTCACCAGCTATGTGACTTTGGGCTAGTGACTCAACCTCTCCAGGCCTATGTTCTGTCATCTATCAAGTAGACTTAGACAAATATAAGTTGTCATTAATTATTTTCATTATGTTATGAGCAGCAGTAGGATGAGTAAGAGCCTATACTTTGGAGAGGAGACAGGCATGGGGTCAAATGCAGGCTTTACTTTTTACTATTAAGCAATTCACTTGTATTCTCTTTGGCTCTCAATTTTCTCATCTGTACAATGGGTTAATAAAATATCTGTTCTCCCTAAGGTGGTTTTGATCTCAATCTTCATAAAATGTAAACATGCATAGGAAAAACTAACACTAAATAAGTGTCTTGGGGGTAAGGGGACTTGGTTGTAAGTTTCCCTAAAGAAAGGATCCATCCTCCAGATTCCCATCCCCTAAAACCAGACCTTGCTCAGCCAGCCACTGTCCCTAGCTTTGGGAAAAAACGGGGCTCTGCTGCCCACCTGGCACCTACCCTCCCTTCCAGGCTGGTCCAGAAGAACCTCCTTCTTGGCAATGATGCTGACTGCCAAGGTGAAGGCCGAAGTCACATAGTAACGCCCCAGCCTGGCAAGGATGTCCACGCCACAGCCCTCTGGGAAGTACAGGTCCAAGGCTGAGTTGATCACAGAAGCAATCTGGTGGGACAGGGATGGGGGACAATGCATGTGTGAAATGGGGGGTTTACATACTGAGGACTTGCTATAGCTGCAAGTCTATCTCTTTTTTTTTTTTAAGATTTTATTTATTTATTTGAGAGAGAGAGAGCACATGAGAGGGGGGAGGGTCAGAGGGAGAAGCAGACTCCCTGCTGAGCAGGGAGCCCGATGTGGGACTCGATCCAGGGACTCCAGGATCATGACCTGAGCCGAAGGCCGTCGCTTAACCAACTGAGCCACCCAGGCGCCCTGCAAGTCTATTTCTTGAAAGCTTCTTCGATTTCAGAAAGAAGCACTTGGCAGCTACTAAGGCCCCAGACTGGGGACTGGAGACAGCCGGTCAGGCTTCCTGACGTAGGAGGCAGACGGAGCTGGGTCAAGACCCTTATGCTTGTGTAAATCACCTTCCTCAACACCCCCACGACGGGAAGAGGTGTTCTTAACGTAATACTTGGTACTCAGGTTCCAGAAGCCCTGATGTAGATCTTTCATAAATGGCCAAAGTGTTAAATGACACATTTTTCACAGAAAATACAGAGAATGAAAATCAAAATCACCCGCAATTCTATCATCCAGATTGTTAATCACTGTTAACTTTTTGGAGTAGTTCCTTTAATTCTTTTTCTATACAAACACTATTTTTTATTATAAACATGATAAGGCTATGCATATGCTTTATAACCTGTTCTACTCAACAGACTCTGAATGATCTCACATGGGAGTCATACGAATGTACCATAATTTAACCACTTCCCGAGTGTTAGATGGACCAGGAAAGTCCACTGGGTTTTTGTTATGAACACTGCTATGAAGCTCATCTTTGAGGCTAACTCTTTGCGTCTGTGGGGGATTATTTTCTTAGGGTCAGTCCTGAGATATGGATGTCCCCGGACCTGGCTCTTATTAGGGAGAGGCGACCCCTAGTGGTTGGAATGGGAATTGCGGGGGCACATTTTTCTTGATTTCATCTCAGATGGAAAGCAGCAGACAGAAGGTGGGCTTTATTTCTCATCAGCTCACCTGGAGGGAGAACAGAGCATGCCAGGCCCTCAGAGAGTTTCAGGACTTATACAAATAGGCCTGGTTAAACAAATACATGCATGGACTAGAGTCAGAGAGTGTTGGATGTGTGTCCAGCTCGGCCGTAGACTCAGAAAGTGACATAACCTCGAGGAGCCTCAGTTTGCTCAGCTGTAACATGGGGCTAATAATAAGATGATCCGGGTAAAGCAGCAAGCACAGCATGCAGTGCCTGGGACCCACTCAACAGTGCCGGGTATGCCGACCCCACCTCCCGCAGAGCCCAGTACCACACTTCTGACCCCAGTTACCTCTTCGAATCTCACTTTGGCCCCCTCCAATCCAGGGAAGCCACCGCCAAGGTCCAGGATGTGCATCCCATGGCCCAGCTCAGCGCCCATTTCAAACACAAGCCGGGCGTCTGCGATGGACTGAGTGTAGGCGTGAAGGTCAGGACAGCCACTGCCAATGTGAAAACTGGGAAGGGCGGAAGACCCTCGGCTTACATGCAAGGCCCCAGGTGCCACCGCCTCAGCCCCCGCCAGGAGCAGCCTTGGACAGGCACAATGGGCATCATGCCCATTCTGCAGATATAGTGACTGAGGGCCCCGGAGGGTAAATGCATTGCCAAGGGTCACGGGGCAAGTGAGGAGTGGACAAGAGACTAGATCCAAGGTCCCTTAGCACTTGGTGTCCCTCCCATCCCGTCATGCTGCCACTGGGGCTAAGCCCTCTGGGATGAAGAGCTGGGCCCACGTCAGCCAGGTCCGTATATTCCTCTCAGTCAGCGCTGTGCTTTCATTTCCCCATCTATAAAGTGGGGATAAGATCCCACAAGGCTGTGGGATAATGTTCCTGAAGCATTTAGCACAGTGCCTGGCATATCCTAAGCACAGAATAAATAAAAGCTATACTATTAGGTCATTATCATGACTTCGTCCCTATCCCTGCGAGCAAAGATGTGGCTACACGACCTCTGGCCTATAATAAGTTGGTATAACTCCTGCAAAGCCAGGTACCTCCTGGGGCCTCCTGGGACAAGATCTTCTGGGGAACCATGGGGTCGAGGCAATGGGACACTCCATACTTTCTTTCCAAAGAGAGGAAACTCTCCAATGGCAGGATTCTAGGCCCAGGGACAGGCCTTCCTTGGAGGCCCTGAGGGAGGTCTCATAGAGAATTGATTCACTCCTGGGAAAGAGGCAGTGGGCCTGACAGGGCTGGTGTAGCTTCCAGGCACTCACCTCACCCCCACCACCTCCACGTGGCTCCTCTTGGCATTTTCAAGCAGGTGTCTGCAGGATTTCAGCGACGCTCCAAACTTGAAGCTCAGGGGGCTCAGGGAGTGAGATTCATCAGTGGCAATGCACAGAACCATCCTGAGGAGACACACAGCGCACCTCTGCCGCGTGGACCCCCCCCCCCCAACCCCAACCATGTCCTCTCCGAGAACAAGGGTATAAATTCAGAGCTGCCCACCCCACCGGGCCCTCACCCCTTCCTGCCCCTGCACTGCCAGTCAGCCTCCGAGGCCCATCCAATCCCCTCTCTAAACGTCCCTGGGCCCATCCCCACAGCCCCTGCCCTGGTCCCGACCTCACCAGCTCTCCCTGGCAGCTCCACTTCCTCCGAATCAGCCTCTACACCGGCCAGGCTTTTCCAAATTTTCTTGTATGAGGGGAACCATTTTTTTAAATACAGTCATATTGAGAACCCCCAAATCACGTAAAACTGACAAAATGGAAGCTGCTTTGGGTGAACCAGAGTGGCCCCCCCAGCCTCCCCATCACCCCGAGGAGGCCTCCCTGGAGCCCCCCACAGCATCAGGCGACCGCGTGAAAGCCTCAGCCAGAGTAAAATGTCCAGCCCTGAGCCCCGCCAAAGCCCATGTGCATCAGGTCCCTGCCCTGGGACTGTGACCCACCACAATCATGTTTGCCCTCACCCCTCGCACAGGTCTGTTCCGGCCACACCAAATTTCCGCTCATCCCTCACACGCCCCCGGCCGCTTCCAACCCCCTCGCATTCTGTGCTTTGATGCGCTCCGCTAATTCTACTCCCTCCTCAGGCCCACCTCGAAGGCCACCTCCTCCATGCAGCTTTCCTGACCACCCTCCTCTTGCTCCTTCAGCCTGTGACTTTGATCCCCAGAATACCACACCAGCTTTGTTCTGTCTGGGCTGCCATGGTTATCTCTGCCTTGGCCCTCATCAGGCCCCGGCTCACTGGGTCCGGTCCAGGAGCACCCGCCCCAGACTCCTGGGACTGTGGCCGGGTCCAGGGCAGGCTCCTCTGCTCCAGCACCACTCCTCCCTCCCCCTCTGCCCTCACACTCAGCCCAGCCCTTCCCACGAGTGGTTCTCTGCTTACTTGGCACTGGGGTGGCTCTTTACCACCTTAGCCAGCTCCGCCTCGTTGTCAAAGCTCAGCAGCCGGACCCCATGCTTGGCAGCGTATTTGATCTGTGCGATTTGCTTACAGGGGTTGGCGTAGACGATCTTACTGGCAGGGACGCCAATACGCTGGACCAACTCCATCTCTGCCTGTGGGGTCCCAAAGGTGATGGTGAGGAGGCTCAGGGCCTACCAGGCCCACAGAAGTCGAGGAAGCACAAATGAGGGGCAGAGTCATAGCTATGCAGGGGGAGGTCCCTAAGAAGTGGGCCTCATTTGTACACAACAGATATGTGAAAATCAGGACTCATGCCAGTTCACCATTCCTTGACAGACAAGGCTGCCATAGACAGCCGTGCAGGTGGTGCACTGTACAATTGAGGGGAGGGAGGTCCCATTCACAGAGAATCCATGGTAGATTTTTATATTTGTTACGACTTCCTGGCAGTAAAGCATCTCAGTCTCACAAAATCAGTATATTCATTATAAGTGCCTCAAGGATGGGGTACATTTTCTAATTCACTCAAAGACATTACATGGAGTCATGATAGCCCTAACAATAGGCACCTGATACATTTTCCTGGCAGACTTAATGTTTAAAGAATATTCCCGGGGTGCCTGGGTGGCTCAGTCATTAAGCATCTGCCTTTGGCTCAGGTCATGATCCCAGGGTCCTGGAATGGAGCCCCGCGTCGGGCTCCCCGCTCCACGGGAAGCCTGCTTCTCCCTCCCCGATTCCCCCTGCTTGTGTTCCCTCTCTCACTGTGTCTCTCTCTGTCAAATAAATAAATAAATCTTTAAAAAATAAATAAAGACTATTCCCTGATGGGGACACCCGGGTGGCTCAGTTGGTTAAGAATCTGCCTTCGGCTCAAGTCATGATCTCAGGGTCCCTGCACAGCGGGGGGAGTCTGCTTCTCCCTCTCTGTCTGCCCCTCCCCCCACCTGTGCACGCTCACTCTCTCTTTCTCAAATAAATAAATAAAATCTTAAAAAAAAAAGTATTCCTTGATGTACTGGAAAGTTCACCAGACCAAGAGTCTTTTTGACACAGGTCATCCCACATCCCAAGGCCTGCTGTGCGTGTGGCGCTGTGCTGGGTGACTCTGGCCAGCCCCTCCCGTCCCTCCGGGAAGGCCTTCTCTTCCTCCCTTTTACAGAACACCGTCCCACCCGATTGCTGCATTAATGGTACAGACGAGGATGATGATGAGAGCAACCATTGTCCCTGAGCACCTACCACAAGCAGGCACTGAATGAGATGTCTGTAAACTTCTATAAAGGGCCAGAGAGCAAATAGTTTATTTAGGCTTGGTGGGCTATATAGGTTCTTTTATTTTTTTTTAAGATTTTATTTATTTTTAGAGAGAGGGAGAGAGAGAGCACCTCTGAGCTTATGTGCAAGCCACAAGCAGGGAGAGAGGCAGAGGGGCAGAGGGGGAGGGACAGGAAGAGAGAATCCAAAGCAGACTTCATGCCAGGCAGAAAGCCCAGTGTGGAGCTTGATCTCACAACCGTGAGATCATGACCTGAGCCAAAACCAAGAGCCAGACACAACGGACTGAGCCACCCCCGAGACACCCCGGCCATATAGGTTCCGTGACACCTATTCAACACTAAGGCAGCCAGACAGGGTGCATGAGTGAACAAGCGTGGCTGTGATCCGATAGAACTTGACAGAATCAGGGCGCCTGGGTGGCTCAGTTGGTGAAGCAACTGCCTTCGCTCAGGTCATGATCCCAGGGTCCTGGGATCGAGTCCCGCATCGGGCTCCCTGCTCAGCGGGGAGTCTGCTTCTTGCTCTGACCCTCTCTCCTCTCATGCTCTCTCTCACTCTCTCTCTCTCAAGTAAAAAAAAAAAAAAAAAAAAAACTTGACAGAATCAGGCAGTGGCCTGGATCTGGTGACCATCCATTGTCTGTGAACCCTTGCTTTGGATTCACTACTTTATCTACTCCTTACAGTAACCCTGCCAGAGGGGTACGGGCTCCGCTCTAGAGAGAAGGAAACTGGTACTCAGCGAGGCGACGCAGCGGGGAAGAGACAGACCCAGCTTGCAAACTCAAGTCTGACGATGATGGAGGGCAGGAAGTCAAGGGGAAGCCAGTTCTGAAACACCGTGAGAGACACAGGGCCATCTTTAGCCATCCTGAGTTTCTAATAAGACTCTAATTTTAATGTAGCAAGTTCTCAGCGCGGGGTACTTACGTGCATTATCTCACGTGATGCCTGAACTGTCCTGTGAGGTATGCATTGGCCATACTTTACACAGGACCACACTGAGTTCAGAGAAGTCCACCTGCCTGCAGAGACACAGCCAGTAAGCAGCAGAGTGGGACGAAGCTGGAATCGCTGCCCTCACAGCTGGCTTCCAAAGTGCCTGAGTCTGAGTGGATGTGCAAATGCACTTTTGCTCCCCGCTTCACCAAATGAGGTAAGAGGAGGAAGCCACGGTAGCAATTTGGGGCTTGTGATTTAGCTCTGATTAGAAACACTTACACAGTAACTAGTGTTATTCACTGAAGGACTTCCATATGCCAGCCATAGCATTAAATATTTTATGTACCTCTTTATTTAATCCTCATGATAATTTTATGAGGCAGGAAGCAGAGGCTCAGAGGTGAAGTGACTTGTCCAAAGTCACACAGCTGCTATGTGACTAAGTGGCCCAGCTGGGATTCTAACCCAGGACTGTCAGACTTCAGCACATGAGCTCTTAACCACAGTACTGTGATGGAGACTTCAGCCTCGAAGCTGAGCTGACAGGTGTTTCTTGAGCATCCACTGAGATGCCAGGCTCTGTCCTGGTGCTAAAGAAAACAAGTGGTGAGTAAAGTAGACAAATTTCTGACCCTGTGGAACTTTCAGGCAGTGGGAAAAATAGGTAAGAACAAATGAGCGATAAATAATGAAGAAGTTACAAACGCAGAGCCCTGAGGAAAAAGCACAGGATACTAGAGAGCCGGATGGGGGACCGGGATGCGAGGAGCCAAGCACAGCCTTTCTGAGGGTCAGAAAGTTAAGCTGAGCTCCGCAGGAGGCCTCGTCCAGGCCCAGAGGGAAGGAAAGAATGGTTCTGATAGCAGGAAGCGGTCTGTGCTGAGGGGCTGAGGAAGAAATGTGCTCAGCCTGATCAAGGAACAGGGAACACTGGAGTGGCCTGGGCAGAGGGAGCACCATGGGGGAAGATAAGGCTGCAGGGAGGTGGGCAGAGCCAACAGGGAGACCAAGATGGCTGATGTGGATTTATATTTCATCCTGCGAGTCAAGGGAATCCACTGGAAGGGTTTCAAGGAGGGAAATGGCACAGTCAGATTTGCACTTTAACTGCAGGGTTTAAACGCACATCGCTCTGGCTACCATGTGAACACGGACTCAGGAAGGGCCGAGAAGATTCTGGGGGGACTGGTCACAATCGTCCGGGGTGAGGGAACAGATGGGGGAGAGGTGATCTGGGGGCAGGGCCGGCAAGCCTGGTGGTGGCTGGCTGGTGGGGCTGTCTGACTCCATGCCCAGCAGGCCAAGCAGCCCTTCTCCAAGGGGAAGATGGTGAACGCGTTGGAACACACCGGGTTCCAGGCGTCTTGTGGGATCCCGGCAGCTGCTGGAGATATAAGGTCTGGGCTGGTGATCAAAACGTGGGAGGTGGCGGAATACTGATGGTATTTACAGTGGTGGGAGGAGATGAAATTCCCTAAGAGGAGGGAGAGTTTACAAGAGAAAGGGAGCCTGAGACAGAATCCAGAGGAGCTCTCCCATTGAGAGAGAGGGAAGTCAGGCACCCAGGACCTACAGAGAGGGGAGGAAGAAGGACACAACCAGAAGAGGGGCAACAGCACGTAGATTATATATTCTTGTCGCGGCACAACCGACAGAATGGGAGAAGATATTTGCAAATGACATGTCAGATAAAGGGCTAGTATCCAAACTCTATATAAAGAACTTATCAAACTCAACACCCAAAGAACAAATAACCCAATCAGGAAATGGGCAGAAGACATGAACAGACATTTCTTCAAAGAAGACATTCAAATGGCCAACAGACACATGGAAAAGTGCCCAACATCCCTTGGCATCAGGCAAATACAAGTCAAAACCACAATGAGGCCACTTCACACCCGTCAGAATGGCTAAAATTAACAAGTCAGGAAATGACAGATGTTGGTGAGGATGCAGAGAAAGGGGAACCCTCCTACACTGTTGGTGGGAATGCAGGCTGCTGCAGCCACTCTGGAAAACAGTATGGAGGTTCCCCAGAAAGTTGAAAATAGAGCTACTCTACGACCGACCCAGCAATTGCACTACTGGGTATTTACCCCAAAGATACAAATGTAGGGATCCGAAGGGGCACCTGCACCCCGATGTTTATAGCAGCAATGTCCACAATAGCCAAACTGTGGAAAGAGCCTAGATGTCCATCAACAGATGAATGGATAAAGAAGATGTGGTGTGTATATATATATATATATATATATATATATATATATATATATACAATGGATATTATGCAGCCATTAAAAAGAATGAAATCTTGCCATTTGCAACGACGTGGATGGAGCTAGAGGGTATTATGCTAAGTGAAATAAGTCAATCAGAGAAAGAGAAGTATTATATGATCTCACTGATATGAGGAATTTGAGAAACAAGACAGAGGATCACAGGGGAAGGGAGGGAAAAATGAAACAAGACGAAACCAGAGAGGGAGACAAACCATTAGAGACTCTTAATCTCAGGAAACAAACTGAGGGTTGCTGGAGGGGAGGGGGGTGGGAGGGATGGGGTGGTTGTGTGATGGACACTGGGAAGGGTATGTACTATGGTGAGTGCTGTGAATTGTGTAAGACTGATGAATCACAGACCTGTACCTCTGAAAAAAATAATACATTATATGTTAATTAAAAAAATAAATTATATATATATATATATATATATATATATATATATAT